AAAGCCTTTAATTGGTGCCGTGACCCGTGGACCAGATGAGCTCTGCAGGACGACCGGTCCATTTCCTGAATAATGTCCCGGACCGACAGTGGTAATCCTGTGCCAGGCTGAGCTGAGCTGGAGATCTGATATGCGGTCCGGAGCTGAATACTTCCCTGATCAGAGAGTGCCCTCCTGGGTGTAGTCAGAGCGGTGAGCACTCCCACACATTAACTGGCCGGCCACAAAATGAGGTAAGTATGTTCTTATGTTTAAGTCATGACATGTTACTAGAGGTCATGAGAATGTTTTTAGTTACACACCACTTAACCAACAGACACACACACACATTGATTTGCTTCATGTTTTGACTACTGCTATGACCAGCTGCAAGGCTGGCAACAGAGACGTCGCGGTTGACGTTTCTGTGTAGTATGGGGCTAGCCCAACCGAAGAGATATAATGTATAGGCCTGGTTGGTTCAGGGTCTTTCATCTTACATCTGCCTGCATGCAGTTTGGAGGTGCAAGATACCTGAGCGTGTAATGTTAATTTTACCTGTGATCCTTTGAATAATCAGCACTGTTTTGAAGTTACTTGGACTGTCTCGTCTCTCAGAGTTAGCAATGGTAATAAGAGCCATAATCCTACAAAAAGAACGGGGGTCCAACAATGCATGCATACGGTGATTCTGAGGATGAACTGAAATAACCAACCATGGAGAATATCCTAAAACCTGCTACTGCCATAAAATAATAGATTTTTGTTTGCTTTTTTAATTTTTAAGGGAAAAAAATGTCAGAATGTGTTAATGTTAAGTTGGTGTGGTCGTTAAAATACATTTGGGTACTTGATCATGCGCTTGTAAGAAAAACTGCAAATGCATCTGTGATTGTGATAAGAGCTGGTCTGAGCAAGAGTTATCACTGTCCTTATTTCAGATCAAAATGAGCACCAAAATTGCACTGCGGTGCCTAATTATAACACACGGCCTCAACTGTGCTTGTTCTCCCAATTCAGCACAAGCACATTCATTCATGGCAGGAAAATACCAAACACACCTATGCGCAACGAAAAAGTAGAGGAAAACAGCCTAACAACAGCAAATGAGGCGACACAGAAATTGCGCTGGCAGAATTTTTTTTTTTGAGATCTATTATTTGCAGAAAATGTTGAGCCAATCCATCCATTAGAAGCTTGAGATGGTTCACAGGGTAAGTAAAAATTTTGGCCATATTGACGTATTACATGAAAAAAATCAGGGGTTGGGAAAAGTCACTAGTCAATGTGGTTGTCCATAAAAATGCATGGGAATCTACCCAAAATATGCTGAGCTGATTCAGTCTGAACAAATATGGACCAACAATACCATTCTAGAGCTATGTCACCAGAGTGGTGACAAAATGGTATGCTTTAAATGTCTTAGCCTACTGTGTCCCTCACAGTTCTAAACAGTTTATCTATTTGGGGAACAGCTTGTTGTGTATGGAAGATCAAATTAAACAGCCCGTGGCACTTTTCCTCGTTTTTTGATTTATCTACAATGTTGCAATGGCGAATTATCTTAGATGTGACCTAAAGCTCAAAAAATTAGCTGAACTTATGTTCTAGTATTTCTATGTAGAAGCAACTTTGTTTATTCCAGCCACTGACTGCTCATGCTGGACAGCCATCAAGACCCTCTGATTAAATATTCTAAACAGAGGGAGGAGAGCCAGGTCTATATCATGAGATTTTTAAAACCACAAACAAGTGCTTATCTCCACCAAACTTTACATCACTGTACTCATGTAACTGATCATGTTATTAGAGCTGATGCTTAATTTGTACTCTGTAACATCAAGATGACTTTTTGGCATAAAGCACTGACAATAAAATGTGCTTATTGTTTTAAATGGATACAGATTTTTGTTTTTTTTTTGCAACACAAAACATTTACTTGACAAAGGACATAACACAGAACATGAGACAAGAGACATTAACAAAAGAGATGAATGGATTATTCAATTTAGTTCGTGTGTGTGAAAGTGTGTAGTGTGGATGTATCTAATTCTGCAGACTGATATTCAGTACATATTAAAGAAAAATAAAGCTTAACCAAATAAATTAAGAAATTCGAGGGGGTGACCCAAAAACAAAAATTCCCCACTTACCCCCCCACTTTGGGGCGGTCTTGTATGCCTTTCTTCAAGCTCGGGTCCTCTACCAGAGTCCTGGGAGCTTGAGGGTCCTGCACAGTATCTTAGCTGTTCCTAGCACTGCACTCTTCTGGACAGAGATCTCAGATGTTCTTCCTGGGATCTGTTGGAGCCACTCTCCCAGTTTGGGGGTCACAGCCCCCATTGTTCCTATTACCATGGGTACCACTTGTGCTTTCACCTTCCACATCTTTTCGAGCTCTTCTTTCAGCCCTTGGTATGTCTCAAGCTTCTCGTGTTTTGGCTCCCTTACCCTAATTACACTATCTGGCACACCTGCTTCACTTCCCCAGATCACCACCAGCTGCACCTAATTAGTTTTCTCCCTACTTATACCCTGCTCACCGTTTACTCCCCTGCCAGTTCTTTCTCGACTCTCAGGCTTGTCTTTGCTCTCTCATTATTTTTTTGTCTACCAGTTGCATTATTCCAAGTCCTTACGTTTTTCTCTAGCTCCTGCCAGCCCTGTTTTCCAATCGCCTCCATAGCCTTGTTTCCGTCCCTGCTACACCTTCCTCCTCCACGGACCTCTCCTCCGAACCTGGAACTACTCAGCCCTGCCAGTCTCCACCATACAAGTCGATGCACAGCCATCATTAACTGTTTGTACGTACTTCTGTCTTCTCAGCCATCATTACTTCAAACCACGACCAGTTCAGGAGTGACCCCCAGCGTCCGCAGCCCGGTCTATCATCATTCATCGCACAACTGACTGTTTTCCTCTACTGCTGCTTGACGCCCGGTTACACTCCATCTCTCTTCACCTGTCTATTTACCTGTCTGCTATTATCACTGTAAATAAATTGAGCACTACTTGCACCGAATACATGGAGGAGATGCACGATGTTTTTTATGAGAAGGTGTAGTTTTCAGATTGGGAATTTATATGCCTTCATGCATTTTTCAAGGTACAGTATTTCTAGAATATTTGCTGCACAAAAAACTTGCATTAATTGTTTTCGGTGAATCCACACCTTACCCTGCACTCCTCTTACAGCTCAACATCAATTACACTTTGACTAACATGTTGTGTTGCTGAACTGTCCCTGTCATTGCGGGCTTGTAACATGATGGGGTCAGAAGAGTATCCTCCATGAATGGAGCCTTTACTTTTAAAAAAAACATCCTGATGGAACTGTCAAACAGCACTGTTTTCTGCTGTTTCTGTTGTAAGGAATTTTCCATTTTACCATTGTATTTACCAATTTACCATTGTAGTACTTCGAGTGTGAAGTACCATGGGTCAGAAGGAGGGCAGAGAAGATCTCTGCACACCCTGGATACAAATTGTTTGAACTCCTCCCCTCTGGACAGTGCCACAGGTCACTGTATGCCAAAACAACCAGAGACAGGGACAGTTTCTTGCGCCAGGTCATCACTCTGAACATTTAACTCATGACAGTATAACAGAATGATAACCCTCAGTGCAGTACCTTGTAAATGTAGTTTTTTTTATATATCTATCTATCTAGAAAACTGCATCTAAACTGTATATAAGATAATCCTTTGTCATTGTAACATGTACAATGAAATTTTAGAGTGACCTCCAGTCGGTATAGCAATAGAAAAAAACACAACATATGAAATAAGACCATATAAAAAAACTTAACTGCTAGAAAAAGGAAATAAACAACAGCCCTCTCACACACACCCCTTTACACACACAGGCATATTATATTTTAGCAGTATTGAGTCTGGTAACTGCTGTTGGGTAAAAACTATTCCAGAATCTAGCGGTCCTTGACTTGATTGCTCTGAACCATCTACCTGACGGCAGCAGTTCAAAGAGTGAACATCCAGGGCGTGATGTGTCCTTAATGATGTTCTGGGCTTTTTTGAGTCAAAAGGAACTGTGTAGTTGTTCCAGTGGTGAGGAGAGGGCAGCCGACGATCTCCTGGGTCATATTAATGACCCTCTGGAGCATTTTCCTCTGAGCCGCTGTGCTGCTGCTGTACCATACCATACAGTATGTAAGGACACTCTCAATGGAGCAGCAACAGAAGACTACCAGCAGTCTCTGGGAGATGTTGTTCTTCCTGAGCACCCGTAGGAGGTACAGTCTCTGCTGGGTCTTTTTAAACAGTCCAGAGGTATTCATGCCCCAGGTCGGATCCTCCCAGAAAGCGGAAGTCCGGCACCCTCTCAACACGGTCCCTGCTGATATACAGTGGCAAGATGCTGGTTTTCTTCCTCCTAAAGTCGACAATGACCTCCTTAGTCTTTGAGGTATTGAGGAGCAGATTGTTCTCTCTGCACCGTTAAGAGCTGTGGATGTGTATGGGCCCACTCTCACCCTCTGGCTGCATCCGGACAGGAAGCTCTTAATCCATATGCAGGTGGAATATGGAATTCCCAGGTCCACCAGCTTGTCCAGTTGTGGGGGAGGATGGGCCAGCACATAACAGCAGGGTGCAAGACGCTAGCAGGCAGGGTATACATGGAACGCCATATCCAAGTGGCTGGCATGGTGTACAGAAACATCTGTGCCGAGTACAGGCTGGGAGTCCCAAAGTCAAAATGGGATACACCTCCAAAGGTGGTTGAGAATGATCAAGCTAAGATCCTGTGGGACTTCCAGATACAAACTGATAAACTGGTAATGGCCAACCAACCGGACATAGTAGTGGTGGACAAACAGAAGAAGAGGGCTGTAGTGATAGATGTAGCAATCCCAAGCAATAGCAACATCAGGAAGAAGGAACACGAGAAGCCTGAGAAATACCAAGGGCTCAAACACGAGCTAGAAAAGATGTGGAAGGTGAAGGCACAAGTGGTCCCCGTGGTAATAGGAACATAGGGGGCTGTGACCCCCAAACTGGGAGAGTGGTTCCAACAGATCCCAGGAACAACATCTGATCTGTCCAGAAGAGTGCAGTGCTATGAACAGCTAAGATACTGCACAGGACCCTCAAGCTCCCAGGCCTCTGGTAGAGGACCTGAGCTTGAAGGAATACAAGACTGCCCCAAAGTGGGGGGTGAGTGTGTTTTTTTAATTCTATATATATATATCCAGCATGAAATTCCTTGCGTGTCAAAAACACCTGTCCAATAAAGACGATTCTGATTCTAATAAAGGTTTGGCCTAAATAGCTAAAGATAGGTTAGCCTACTTTTCTGATTGCTATTGCCTAATAATTATTTTACCTTCATCCAAAAAAAATCTTTTCTGTCCTAAAATGTCCTATTAGTTTTTTACCACAACATTTAAGACCAACCACATTACATAACAGAGATTATCAGCAAGATAATTAACAAATATGTTAAATAGAAACATTTGGGAGCTTAGTTGGTCATAGCCTAGTCTGTTCACGTATTAAACTACAACTCCCATGAGCCATCACTACCGTAACATTCTGCCAATTAGATAACAGGCTGTTGTTTGCGTCACATTCGCTGACCTCATTTTTGGGGGTATGTGTTTTTTCTGAGGGAGACAGTGACTGGCGGCGCCATATTGAAAGAAGGAATTTGTTCTATTAAACTATTAAAACGGCAAATTTCTCATCATGCTATACTTGGAGGACTATCTCGAAAGTGAGTATCGGACTCTGACAAAGCGATAGAGCTCTTATTTAGACATTGTGTGTTGAATGTATGCCATTTCACGGGTTGTGTCGCACCGACCGTTAGCCTAGCCGTGCTAGCAGGATAATCTTTTTTTTCTTCTCCTATCAGTGATCGAGCAGCTACCCATGGATCTCCGCGACAGGTTTACGGAAATGAGGGAAATGGATCTGCAGGTTCAGAGTATGTATATATCCCCGGCGGCAAACGGCCCGTCACACCGGTGTTAAACACACCGTGGACTAACATGGGAGCACAGCTCTGTAATGTTTAATGAAAACAACATTGTTTAACACAACCCTTGGAAAGTAATTAACAAACAGGCTAGCGATAACCGGCTAGCTTCAGCAACAGGCTGAACTTAGTTTTAATGGGCACATTTTTACTGAACAGCATTTTTAACCAGTGTTAACATTACCCCAGACCTTTCGGGTTCAGTTGCTTAATAAAGAGGTTTAGCTATGCTGCCACTTCAGACTAAAACTTTATCATAGACTACTTTAAAAGGATTTAAAGCAGCCAAACTTGCTGCGGCCACAGTATTAACTGGGGTCATGATGACAGTGGTGCAGGTCTGTTTACAGGGCACCAAACACATTTTGATATGTTTTTAGGTAACCCCCTTAATCCTAATATAGCACTAAGACGACCTTATTGTAATTCATAGGGTATGCATATTTAAACCACTGTCTTTCATTCTATCAATGTTCTCTTTGGTGTCGGAGGATTGTTATTGTGTTGTATAAAATGACAAAGCATAAATCAGAGAACAGTATGTTACAAAATCACTGTTAAAGAATAACAGTAGTTTGCACACCCAAACCTAGGTGCACTGTCATTTAATTTGATAATTATTGTTTTGGTAAATCATGAATCCATGAACCTGTGAAATGTCTTAAATTTATTGCATTGTCCTGCCAACAGTCCAGAGCCAAAGAGATTCTGTTTACTGTGAGAGAAAATGGGAACTCTTTGGAGACATTGGAGGAAACTTCAACAGAGAATTAGTGGAGTTTTCAACTTGATGATTTGCTTAAAGAAAATGTACAAAACGAAGAAGACGAAGCAGCTTTATTTTATTGATATTGTAACATTGCCATCACAGGCAACTTGGGGGGTTCAGTGTCTTGCCCAAGGAAACTTCAACATGTTTCAGACCTTCAACCCTCCGGTTGGGAGACACCTGCTCTACCCAGCACACCACTGTCGCCCCCAAAATGATTGTCTGATGAGCTCTGCATCATCAGACACCTGACTAATTGTTTCAGCTTTTCAGATCAAACTGATGACATGTTGCACATTTTCGTTTGTGGAGTCTGTTTTTATTGAAACGTTTTATTCTGACCAGCGACTCTTGAGCTCCAGCTTTCATCAGCTATGTAGAGCTCCAGCTTTCATCAGCCATGTAGGGCTCCATGTTGGGATCAGTTATTTATTTTTATGTGTTTTTCATGATAATCATTCAGAACTGATTTGCACACAAGAAGGAGCTTCATCAGTAACTTTAATTTATCACTCGGCTCCAGCTGGAGTGTACATTTTGTTCACTTGCTGCCTTTTTAAAAATATAAACAAATGTGAACACAGTATGATCATTACTGATGTTGAGGATGTTCATGTCATTAATTAAAAGATGTTTGGTTTTTATAGAAATGCTATTTTTTGCTTAACAGCACATTAGTAAAGTCTGTAGTTCTGCACTCTCAAATTTTAGTAACTTGATTTTTATTGTCTGGACTGTGTGTGACAGTTTTTCCATGTCGTTTTACAGATGCCACAGATCAGCTGGAGCAGAAGGTCATTGAGTTTTTCGTCAATGCAAAGAAGAACAAACCAGAGTGGAGAGAAGAACAGATGGAGGTTATTAAAAAGGTCAGAGCAGCTGTCACAACCAGGAAAAACTTGTATCTTCCTGGCTCCCTCTCATGGCCCAGCAACAAGCAAAGATAAAAATGAGGTTGTGTTATTCACTCCTAAGCGGTCATTTGTTTTGACTATGAAAGTTTTAGTTGATGAATGATGAAGCTGTGGTAACATCTACCACGTGTGCAGCTGAAATGACTTTACTACCTGCAAGAGATGGATTTAACTGGCAGTGTATCTAACATTACAGTAACCCCCGGTGTTCCTTAGCGGTGGGCTGCCTCAGCTGAAAAAATCTTGTTAAAGAAGTTATTCTGCTTTGGCTGAATACATTAAACCGCAAACACCAGACAGTGTGTGATGAATTAGTGTGAACCTGTGTTTCAGGATTACTACAAAGCTCTGGAAGATGCAGATGAAAAAGTGCAGCTGGCCAGCCAGATTTACGATCTGGTGAGTAACAGTGTCTGAGCTGTTGGTTTAAGAACAGCCTGTGTCTTCATTAATGCCATGGATAATATGCACCCACAGTAAAGATGATGTTCAGTGAAATGCCTCATTGTGACCCAAGTTGCCTAGATTGTTACTGTTAGTGAACTCAAACTCCATGCTTACATTTACAGTTTGAGTGCTATTCAGTCCAGCCACCACTAGATGGCAGTCAGACTCAAAGTCAGGAGGGTAGTATGAAAACATGAAAATACTGCGGTTTCTGTTATGTCATGTTAAAGACTTGTGTTTTTTTGACATTATCAGTGGAAAATGCCTGATGTAATGCTTCTCCTCTGTTTCATTGCTGTGTTTTAGAGATACACAGAGGACAAATTGATATGTGCATTTCAGAGAAGGAGTTGGATAATTTGCTTACTCTTTGAACAGTTTGAAAGTAGTAGAATCGCTTTATGGACTGGGCAGAATGAGCTTATGGAAAGGGCCACAAACAAGTCATCTCAAAATACTCAAAATATTCTAAAATCTGCCACAAATAAGAATGAGGATGTTATGAAGTGCTCAGCTGTGTAGCAACCTGAGAGGCTGTTTCTGGGATGTTTTGGATTAAATGACCGTTTTGGAAATGTGCTTTTCTGTCCTGAGGGGAGGGTGTTTACTGGGTGGTTTTCAGTGTGCTGTTTTTTTTTTTTTTTCTCCCCTCTGTTCGCCAGGTGGACCGACACCTGCGCAAACTGGACCAGGAACTGGCCAAGTTTAAAATGGAGCTGGAGGCCGACAACGCCGGCATCACTGAGATCCTGGAGAGACGTGAGTTACAAAGAGAAACTGATTGTGGAACTGCTTTTCTGCCATTTCACACAGGCCTCTAACATCCTGACAGAAGATGTTTTACACTTTTCATCTTTTGGAGACATTGAGGAAGCGTACTGAATTTATTTTCCTCCTCAGGTTCTTTAGAGATGGACAGTCCATCTCAGCCAGTTAACAACCATCACGTCCACTCGCACACCACAGTGGAGAGTAAGTGCTTACTGATCTTTGTGGAGGGGAAAGGTCCCATGTGCATTTTATTGAGCTCTTGTGTCTTATTTGCTTTTGAAAAAAAAACTAAACAAATAATTCAGCCATTACAGTCAGGACAGCCAAACACAGAACCCACAGTGTAAATGGGATTTCTGCTCAGAGTGCTGAGGACTGAGTAAAGGGCAGGTATGTCCTGTGTTTGTGTTGGTGCAGAGAGGAAGTACAGCACTCCAACTCACCACACTACAGAACATGTTCCAGAGAAGAAATTCAAATCTGAAGCTTTGCTCTCCACACTCACATCAGACGCCTCCAAGGAGAACACCCCAGGTACCACTACTTCACCTGTGTGTGCGCGCGTGTGCGTGTCAGGTAACACGCATACACACCTGACTGACTGACTCTGTGTGTCCCCTGCAGGTTGCCGCACCAGCAGCACATCCTCATCTACCAACAGTGTGTACAGTGTGAACGCCTCTCAGTCTCTGACCTCCTACAACTTGAGCTCTCTGCCTGCGGGGCCTGGGGCCGGGGCTGGGGCCATCACCTTGGCTGCCGCTCAGGCCGTACAGGCCACAGCACAGGTCGGAAACGCAGTCACTGCTTTACTAATCATTTTAAGTCAGATTACCCATAATTTGCAGGTTGTAGCTTTTCAGTTGTGAAGCCTTTCTTTGCTGTGGTGCTGAACACGGTCGCTCAGACAAAACGGGAAATTTGACCTCGCTTTGGGAATTTATACATCCATGACAAATGTGTGCATGAGAAACCAGTGTATTTATCAACAGAGGTATGTCACAATGTGCCCTGCAAACTAAATGCCACCATGTTAAAACATCACTGTGATTGCCATCCTGTTACATGGTGTGTTCAGATGAAGGAGGGCCGCCGGACGTCTAGCATGAAGGCGAGCTATGAGGCCATCAAGAACAACGACTTCCAGCTGGGCAGGGAGTTCTCTCTGTCCCGGGACAGCACCGGATACTCCTCCTCTGCTCTAGCCTCCACCCTCACCCAGACCCTCACCCCCAGTGCCACCTCCGACTCCAGGGGACGCAAATCCAAGTAAGACCCCCACACCTGAGCAGTCATCAGCAGTTAGTCAACACTTCAGTCTAAAGACTGAACATTTTGAACTAGAGGGCTTAGATCGATACACGGGGCAGATGTAAACATCTGACATACCTGACAAAACTATACTAATATATATCTTTGTATTTTTGTCAAATGTATCTTTTTTTACACAAACACCTGCTTCTTTTAAAGCCAGAAATTTCAGCTGTGATGTGAATGTAGCTAAAGTATGTAAAGTTATGGCAAATT